TTTTGAAGCTGTAAATGTCCCAATCAATTCTTTTGCCGTTTAGAGACAGTTCAACACACATATTTTCTGAAAAGATTGCGATCTCAAAAAATTCAGGTCAACACCGTTCCAGTTTTCTATTAGCAAGATAAACCTTTATCACAGTTCGCAAGGCGCGGGCTAACGGGTCCGATAAAGTCACTGACAAACTGTTTGCTAACTTAAGTGGAGTGACCACAGGTCACGAAAGCTGTGCCAAAGGCAATTATCTTCCCCTAAGACCGGTCGTGATAGAAATCTATTGGTTCGCCAAGCTGGACGGACATTTTGAAAAACGTGGAGTGAGCGTTTTTATGACAGAGTGCTCTAAATATCACGCGTTCTGGTGAGAGGTTTTACTCGCACACAGGTCAACAATGGGTCAACATAAATCTAAAGCCTTGACATGCCTGCACTTGAATTGGTGTTTTTGTTCAAAGGGCCATTGTTATTGTTTTAATGTAGTGTTGCTTTGCTTTTTTGTCGTGTCATCATCATAGAGATCAATACAACTGGTCTTCTGGGAGATGGAGATGGACTGTAGCTGCATTATGTATTCTTCAATAAATGTATCCAATGCTTGTTTCATCTTAGTTGCGTGTGTCTGTACCCTTGTAACCTTCCTGCCCCAAACGTTAACCTCGGGTTGCGGCGGAGTTGTTGCGGCGTCTTTCTCCATTTGAATGACGGGTGCGACCTTTGGGTTAGTTCTTTAAATTAGTCCAATTGGAATGAGCATGCCGGCCGAAACTTTCTCGGCCATTTATCGATGCCCCGGGGCCTCCGCAAATTCAATTAAACTCAGCAGGTCTGGGCTTATGGATAGAGGAGGGTTGAGAGTCGTTTCCAGATTACGTTTATTCCTCTGAGTGTTGTTGGTTCGCGCCGCGGTGGAGATTGCACTGTCCGCGGGAATCAACCTGTCCATTCATCAAGCCGCTGGGAGGACTAACGACGCGCGCTCGCGTGTTCCTCCGACGCGCTGCCACACAATGCTTTACTTCATGACGTCAAACACCAGGTCTTAATCCTCACTTTACCTCACCACTGAGGAAAATGGCCGCAGTTTGCCTTCATCAGCGCCACTTCTCTTTGTTCACCCTTTCCTACGACTTTCGATCCCGTTGCTTGAACTGCTGCGCCCCAGCTGCATGATCAAATGTCTCCAATTGCTTTTATTTCCTTTTAGTGTTATTACCTCCAGTTGGCTCGTAAGTAAATAGAACGGGGAGAGGACCTTATTTGAGAGTGGGGTTCTCTTTTAGATCAAGGTCATTTTTAACGGCAGTTGGGGGGAGAACATGTGCGTGCACGTGGTCAATTGATCGGTTGTCGGGATGAGGGGGAGGGGGGACGTAACTTGTGAATGGAAAAATCGTGTCCCTCTCGACTGTGTGTCACATTTTCTAATCAGTCCGGATTGGTGTCAATTTGGAAAGGAAATTGTTCATCTTGGTGTGGTGCCAGATACGTGATTAGGGCTCAGTCTGGTCCCACCCAGACACCTGCTTTGTGGTCTATATATCACTTTACTTGGGACTTGTGACGGACAGTTTGGTATAGTACAGTGATTAGAAATAATTTCCGTTTCCATCTGCCAAAATAGCGCCGTCCTATTTCTTCCTTATTCATATACATCATAAGTCAACCTTGCATAACAGTACATAATGGTCCCAGCAATGGTATCTAGCTTGGAGTGTTGTGTTTCAAAACAGAAACGTAGACGTACATATAGTGATTTATAAGGTAAGGATCAGAGAAGACACATAGCAAAGATACAGTTGAAAGTAATCAGCGTACAGTTGAAAATAATAATCATTTAAAGTTCTAATAAATTTTACATAATTCTTATACGCTTATCTGGGACGTGTTTCTGAATTTAAAAAAAAGCATTGTATACAACGAAGACAAGCTCTTTTAAAAAAGGAAGAGTAGTCAAAATATTTTTTTTGCAATCTTTTCTGGCATAATAGCTATGAGCGCATTTGCAACATATACCTATTTATAGTAATATATATATTCTCTCATTGTTATTACAACTACGTTAAACAAGAGAAAACAATTATGTCCGGAGTAAAAACTAGAATCCGTCTCCGGTTTTATCGGAACTGTCTGAAATGGATTAGGCGGTTGATGGTCCGGCTACTTTGACGATATTGCTTTTATGAGGTAATGTGTCTAGCCATATGCTACACATATTTCATAAGATAAATGCACTTTAGGAAATACGGTGATGTGTGCATTTTACTCAGGACCCGCGATTTTATACATCATGTTCTTTTTCCCCCCAAGTTTGGTGTGTTATGAAACAAGTACAATTTTACGTAAGGCCCCAAAAACCAGCACCCAAAGACACGTTCGGGCGAAGAAAATTATAATCTTATGTGATCTCATCTAATTATAATGTACTTTTAAAAATCACTGTACTATTAATCGAGTTTACATTTACCTACAGTCCTAAAAATTAATTCATGTATATATAAATGGATTTATGCATGGTTAGAACAGGGATGCATTTTGAGATACATACATAAGTGTATACATGTATATCTTCTTACCGTTATCTGTTTAAAGTATGCACATTTCAAAGTCTGGTATCATAAGCTTCAATGTGGTATGATTCGATATTTTATGTTCAAATGAAATATTTTAACAATTTTACTAATTGCTAACTTGCTAACTACATAATCTTGTTCCGCCGATCAGAAACTTTCAGCGTGCCACTAGGTTCTCTTCCAGTTCTCATCAATACACCGTTAACATACCTGTCCCCAAGTCATTTTACAACAACAGCTTCTTTCCCCGGACTGCAAAATTATGGAACTCTCTTCCAAACAGCTGCTTTCCGTCCGACTACAATCCACAAAGCTTCAAAACAAAGGTCCACCGCCATCTCCTGACATAACTACATTATACTCACTTGAGTACCTCTAGCTCTATGCCTAGAAGTGGCCAAAAATAATTGGCCTTGCATTGAGCGACACCGTTAAAAAAACATGTTCAACTTTTCGAAAACACTCCATGATCCTACCCGCGCCATACGCGCTATTGACACACAATATAATTCCGTGTTGGTTTACATGTTGGCATGCCTCCAAAGTGCCATCAAATTCCGCGACCTTCCTGTATCCTTTCTATGCATCAAACATTGTCTGATTGAGTCCAAAGTAATGTATAGGCCCAAAGGGACACTGATGTAGGGTACAGTTAACAAAAATACCGCCGCTTACGCAAATGCTACAGTCACTACTACTTGAGCTTTAGTTTTAAAATAAACGCCCACCATTTCCGAATAACATGATTTCATGACCGAATTCGATTAGCTCGTAGAAATGGATACGGTAATCTTATTTTTTTCCTGGCTCTTTTGTTATTTCATTACTGTAAGTGAATTAAAAGTATGACTATCTACGTTTTGAAATGAAATACCAAAGTATTTGTCAATAATTCAACGGTGGCACATGGATAAGAAAGTTTTGTGCGATTTCTGGGTAGTAAGACGCGATATTCAAAGTCAATTTTCTGGTCATTCTTAATGTAGTAAGTCAAATTAACCCTTTCCTATATATAGCATACTGATTTCTATGAAGCAATAATACGTTGTTGTGAATGAAAAAAAGGTCTTATTGTATCGTAGGCTGGTAGCAAAATAAAGGGACATATCACGTAGCTTCTTTTGGGGCTATTTCAAACACTTCAAGTATAAAATGATGACGAAAAATCTGCTTACAAATTGCAGTAAATACCAAATTTCAAATCCAGCAGTGCACAGAATACGTTTTGTTTAACCGCCCTGAAATTACATTTGTTTATTTATTTGTTTATTTATTATTTGCACGTATATAAAATACATAATCAAATAATAACAATAAGGGAATATGCAGGGTAGGCCAGAAACCTAGGGCCTACCTCAAACAAAGGTAACTATGATACTTGACAAACATATTTGAATTAAACATCAAAATTTAACAATGAAATAATTGATTAATTAAACAAAATCAAGACACAGAAATAATAACTGATGTGTGTAAACTAGTTTTTACATCGACGAAAAGAAATTAAACAAAGGTCTTATACATGTAATTCAGGTCGCTGTTACAGAAATAAACTGATTAGATAATTAACATAAAAATTAACGATTAAAACAAATGATTGATACATTGGATGTGTCTCATTACACTTATTATTTCCGGCAACGACATAAATACTGTTTATGTTGTGTTTTATATTGAAGTAGAAGCATGAGTGGTTTCTTAGAAGCCATCACCAGTTTCGCGGTAGTTTTGTGGTGATCTAACGGCACAGACTGCCGACGGTGTGTCATGGGGGTTCTAGGTATACATTAGCTATGCGTGACGTCATAGATCACGTCACTGTGCAAGTATCAGCCGATCATTTAAATAATCTAACTAAAGGGAAATAAGGTTAAGGGAAATAATTTTGAAAATAGGTTACATTTGTCTTGTCTTGTTGCGCAAAATGCAACTTGAGATATTAAAGAGGAAACTTTGTTGCGAGCGCAAAACAATCTATTTGTAAACTTTGCACGTGCGGAAGTCTTTAATAGTCTAAATATATCTGATAATAGCGTAATTGCCTTTTATACACGATTTGCATGTGTCAAGAAATGTACAAAACGGCACATTTACTCATGCTTTACGCGCGTGCTTAAAGAATGACTTTTTTTGCAGTACATGTAAGCCTAATTCTAACGGGTTTTTTTACACGATTATTTACTTTTAGACCCTCCCGCCCGTTACTGGCCACGTTCATGCTATTATCCCATGATGCCTTTCAATCTGCTCAATTAGGCGCGCGGCGAGCTTCTCTGTTTTGAGGCTAGGCTGTTGAATTAATGATGCGTGACCGGAGCCGAGTCCGACCGTTCACTGTTTCCTGTGGGTTCATCCCGCTTCCCCGTCCTAGCTCTAGCTAAGTCACGTGGTAAGGACGGACTACTTAAAGCGGATCTCCGTCAGGCCCTCTCATTTTCGTCACAAGCTTTACTCACCGGTCACGGGGTGCAGGTAGTAATTGATACTGAGCATCGTCTTGGGACGGCCGAGCCCGGCTTGGTGCGATGGTAGGATGGTCGGAGTACAGACAGCAACCATCCCACACTACCCAACTCCTTCTGGTCTCTCCCTCACGCTATCCTGACGACTACGATTCCGCCGGTAAGTTTTGCTTGGCTTGTGGTCTACTGCAGTTGTTCTGGTCGCATGTTTTTTTCTTTGTCGCGGTGCCGTGATTGTGTGTCCCTTATCCTGTCGTCTGATTTTCCGACTCGTTTGGTGAGGATTATTGTCGAAAACGTGACCTGCATCCCGGCAGAACCAGAACAGATGGCTTCGCGTTTTGTCTTCTAGCTATTTTCAAAACGACGTCAAACTATACACTAAGCTTTAAACACTGAGTTTTTTTTTCTCTTTCTTATAAATTGTTAATGCCGCTTGGAAATATGGCCCCCACAAGGTGTGGCCTTGTGAGAGATGCAGACTGCGGTTTGGTCCTGTGGTTTTGTGGCACCATAAGTGTCTCTTCAATTATCGTGGCGCAGTAGACGATAATAGTACAATCATCGCCGGTGCGACACCTCAGACAACTAGCTATTTCTTCTCTCCTCCTAGAGATGCTAAACATTGCATTTTCCTCACGACGCGTGGGAATAAGCCGCAAAGGCTGTAATTTGTGCAAAGCTGAATCTTGGAGATAACACAATCGTCAGCAAGTTTCTCCGCACACGCATCAACAAAAGTGGTACAATGAGGGCCCGGCTTCCTCTTCTATTATATACTCCCATTACTGCAGCTCACGAAACAGCTTATCTCCAGTTTGTAACGGGATGGAAGCCATCTAAGCCGGAAGGTATAATTTTCATAACACGGCCCAGATGATGGTCCATCCCTGTGTTTATGTGCAAGTAATTCGTATCATCGCTACCTTCGCGCAAATGTGTTTTTAGGACGCTCAGATGCACGAGAAACGAACCTGGTAATTAAGTGAAGTGCTTGGTAGCTTTCACACTGCGCCCCCTGATGACACAAAACGACCCCTTTCCTTCTGATGGGCTTTCAGAACCACGGAGAAGGTAGCTCGGGCCATTTCCGCAAAAGAAAACTTTTTTTGCATCCGTTATAGTTTTCTTGGTTACCTATAGGATGATTGCGCCGGCTCGGTAACGCTAAATGTGAGGCGACAGAATCCATTTCTAGCTAAACCCGTAACAAATAACAAATGGGCAAAGGATACTACTGGTTCGTTTCCAACAATATATTGCTGTTCAGTCTGCGGAAAATAATGATACGGATCATAATTATTCATATTTATTGTGTTTTTTAGTTATATTTTTTTCATTGTCACGTTAAATATTTACCTAAGTGATGATTTCTTGAATTTAGAAATTGTTGGGGTGAACTCTTACTAATACATATTTACATGTTCCTCTTTAAAATGTGTTTCATTATATAAATTGGATTTGGAGTGGTGTACACTTTTGAGGATAGGTCACCTGATTAATTGCAGAATATATTTTGATTAAGGAATTAAACAATTTTAATCAAATTTTCATTTTGCATAGGAATTTTCTTGAACGACACGTATGCTCTATAATTATAACAACTCCTCTTCTGGGTAACTAAGAACACTTGTACTGTCAACGCCATCACATCATATAGATTCTTTTCTGCCATAGTCTAAGTATTTACCGATTTGCAAATATATTTTCTGTAATCTCATATATTACTCTACTGCACAGATGCAAAATAGGTCTGTATCGCTAATCTGTATGGATTGTAATCTTCAATTTGAAAATCTACCAACTATTATGTTTAAATTATGTTTATATGAGCAAGGATGCAATAGATGTATGTCGAGGACCCAAGACTTAGTTAACATTGTTATTATGATTAGACTTTTGTATGTCAGTAGAAGGTGTTTTTAGTATTCTCTGAGTTACCAATAACATCGGATTTATTTGTATATAGCGATGCGGAAAAAGTAGAATGTTATATCTTCTCTCTATCCTGGCTTCAAAGCCATTAACTACATTTTGCGGCTGCAATTGCAAAATTGATACCGTGCATTTTTCCATGGAAAACACCGCCAAAAATAGTCATCGGTAGACACGAACAGGTACCTATGGGACTTTTTTTTAAATTCCTCTAACCTTGTCTTGGATCCCTAACGCACAGAAGGCTTTACTCTAATGTAGCTACATATTATGTAACAATGGCGGTGTTCTTTAAAAGGCACCCAGTGCAGTTTTTAATGTTCAGAAAGCAGATTTTTCGAAGACAACATTCTAGCCATTAATCTACATACTAAGATGAAACAACACTATCACTATGCATATCGACATTTGTGGAGCAAAAATGCACCAATATTCTGACGACAAACGGTTACTGGAGGGACCTGGATAGATTATAAGGGTACCATCCAGAAAATAAAGGACTAATCTTGGGGCTTGTTTCTGCACTTTCAAATAGCTTAAGTGCGAAATACTGTATGCAGACAGTATGTGTCAATATTATACAGATTGCCTTATTTAGAATATTTCCAGTTTTGACGCGCTGAAATTGCATTGGATGTCTTTAAATGTGCTAATGCTTCACATTAGCACATTTCAATCAGTATTTCATACTTCGGGTACTTAAAACTGGAGAAACAAGCCCGAAGATGAGGCCTTTATTTTATGGGAGGTACCCTAAAAATCAGCCAAGGGCCCTTCCAGTAACCATTTTCCATCAGAATGTTGAGTATTTTTGGTCCATGAGGATCAATATACATTGGGATAGTGTAGTTTCAACTCAGTATGTAGATAATGAACTAGAATATTGACTTTGAAAAATCGGGTTTAAAAGCCCTAAAAATTGCACTGGATGGCTTTAAAATGCGTTTTGACGTTCACCTTCACCTCGGCCCAGCCGTAATGGTGAAAACTGCTGTCCCAGATAAAACCGGTTTGTACCCGTGAACCTCAGGCACACAGGTGTGACTGCAGACCGCGTCACACGGCACCGCGAGGATCGATCTCCGGGGTCAACTGTAACTAAAACACCCGTCTGTTTCCCCTTGCCTATCCGATCGTGGCAACAGGGCTCCGAGACAACATCCTTTTTAATCATTCATGACGAATATCCCAACGGGGCTACAAGGTCGTGAATCCTGCACTAGTGTGAGAACAGGGGGCACGAAGCTTTGCTTAGTAATACAAAAAAAAAATATTGCACTCATTTGTGGTTAAGATGTTGTGGAATTAACATTTTATAATATGACAGTCTCCTTCAGATACATGCATGACATTGATGACCACATGTGCAGTAGGTATAAGAATACGGTGTCTATCACAAAAAAATGCCTCATAGAAGTACTAAAACGTCGTATTACATTCAACTTTCTAGCTTCCATGGCATGCCAAAAACTGGGGGTTTGGGGGGTCTTCGTGGTCTTTGGGAGCTTTTATGTGCTATTTTCTGATTGCATATCGACAACATAGCCGGCCTGGTTGAATTACCCCCGTTTTTTAGAACTGGGCTGATCAGAAAAAAGCCGAAGAACACCAAACCCCAGTTCTATAAGCCTGCTACGGAGGCTACCACTTTCGAGGTTTTCTGAACATTTTCGTGCTGGAAATAGCATGACGTTAATTTCAATTGTCTATGTGGGCCCCTGGGGAATTCCTATTGTGGTTGCCGACAGTCGCAATCATTGATTCTACACGAGAGACGGTTGGCACCAGGAGAGGAAAATGTCGGAATGGTTAATTATACAATACTCTGTGGCACAAAGCCATTGTAGGTACCTTAAGACAACAATAAGAAATATAAAAGCTATAGAATTCCTTACATTGACAGGAAACCGTAGGTAAGAATAACATCATACCTAATGTTGCTTGTACTACCAGAATACATTCAATGATGTATATGCATATTGTTATCAAGAAATGTTGAGCCTTTAAACTGTTTTCTATAGAAATAATTGTATGTACTATCGAAGTACATGTTATAAGGAAGAAGTCGACAGGTCAAAATTTGGTAGGTGCTAGCCTAAGTAATTTAACGACATTATAAACAATCCAACGGATACAAATGTATTAGGGTTTTGTTTAAAATGATACAAACACAACGAATGCAGAAAAATTCATTTGCTATTAATCATTTTCAGGTCTTATCAAGATCTACCTTCCTACCAAATATCAATCCGTCTAAGCCTTCTCGAGTTATTGTGTCTACACACACACACACACACACACACACAAACACACACACACACACACACACACACACACACACATAGTATTATATCCACACACACGCACACACATCCACACATACACACGCACACACATACACACGCGCACACACACACATAGTATTACATACGCACACACACACATACACACGCGCACACACACACACACACACACACACACACACACACACACATAGACACGCACGCACGCACGCGCGCACACACACACGCGAAAGTCACATAAAACGTAACTTCCGGAGATCCTTTGTGAATGTGAAACAAAACTAGGACAGCAACCCAAATAGGGTCCTGAATTTCCCAGTAGGGACTATTTGCAGATCCTTTGACGTCATCTTCGTCATTGGTTGAGGCACAGGTGCAGCGGACTATTACCAATTACGGCCTGGCACCTCCACGGCCGCCATTATAATCTGAGCCTTCGTTAGCCGCTAAACCACATGGCACTACCCCTCCTACCCTCTCTAGTTTGCAAAAAAGCCTTTGGATTTTTCCCAAACCTGTCGCAGCTTTTGACTTGGTTATGTCACCAGCAAGTAGCTATATAGTTGGTAAAATTAAATAGTAAGACCCTGTCCTTTCCTGATTTCACCAACTTCATTTTGCGGCTGCAATTGCAAATTTGATACCGTACATTTTGTTCTTCTAAAACACCGCCTAAATCAAAACACACAACACCAAATTCCTTTTACCTTTTCTTAGTTTCCTAAAGAACAGAAGACTTAGTTTACTCTTATGTTGCTACATATTATGTAACAATTGCTCAGTCACATATCACTACTACTACCACCCTCTCCATTTAGCAAAAATGCTTGAGAATTTACTCAAACCTGTCTTTAGCTTTTGACGTGGTTCTGTTACCAGTGTATTCAGCCTCACACATCTAGTTTGGTAAATGCAATGTGCA